ACTTCTCAGGAATTTGCTGGTAAAAATGTGAAAGGTTTAAAAGAGGAGCAGTGACCAATTTTTAAGGCATTAAACTATGAAGTCAAACATCTTTAAAGTCATATTCGATGTATCTGGTATTTTTATAACAACTGGAGACAATATAGCTACTTGACTGCTATGAAATGGCACTATGTACCTGGAAAACACACAGTTTTGTTTTTTCCTCCTCCACAGTCGACAAGCTTCAGACCCACTGGGAAGACTCTCAGACCAAACTCTCCGACAGGCTCAAGCAAATCCTCAACATGCTGCAGGACTCCACAAACTGGCTGGACGCAAAGCGGGAGGTGGACTGCCTCATCAAACAGGCCAGTGGGAGGCTGGAATCGTGGCAGGAGATCACGTACACAGCGGACGCACTGAAGAAGCAACACGCAGATCTAAGGGTGGGCACCAGAGATCCGTCTGCATGGCTGCATGACGACTGGCACTCCCAGATCTGTTGGCATCGGCAACGAGAGCGAGCCCTTTGGTTTCTGTTCCCCTGCAGGTCTTCATGAAGGACCTGAAGCAGTGGCAGGGACAGGTGGCTGAAACCAACGCGCTGGCCAACAAGCTGCTGACGCTGTACGCCAACGACGACACGCACAAGGTCACCCAGGTCAATGACAACATGCTGGCGACGTGGGCGCACATCAACAAACGGTAACCGCACACGCGACAATACCAACGTCCTTCGTTCGGGAATACAAGTTGCATTAGTCCAAAAAATATGGCATAAAACAGGAATAAAACAGGATAGTTTGAGATAGTTCTGGTATTGATAAATAACAAATCACGCAATTTTTGTGACGACTTTACATCAACGAGGTGCTAACATGAAATATGTTAGCACCGTTCTGTAAGTCAGGACAGTCGTTTGCCACACAAGAGAAATTGTTGTTCAGAATATTAATGTGCATCTATTAATTTGTGAAAATCTAAAATAATTGGTGAAAGTGCCATGTGTCCAGGGTTCATTTTGGTTCAACTTGATAATAAAGCCTGAGTTTGGAGGCAAGTCCTCGGTTTCCCTCATCTCTCTCGCCCGTCTGCAGAGTTTCAGACCGAGAGGCGGCGGTGGAAGCCGGCCTGAAGCTGCTCCACCAGTTCTACCTGGACCTGGAGAAGTTCCTGAGCTGGCTGACGGAGGCGGAGACCACCTGCAATGTTTTAATAGATGCCACCAACAAGGAGAGGCTGCAGGATCAGCCTGAGGCGGCCAAGAGGCTGCTGGCCCAGTGGAAGGTAGGACACGGTTTAACACACACACATCCTCTTCATTAAGGCATGTAATCTGGCTCGTTTGAGGTGTAACTGCATGACCTGGTTATTTACCAGGGACAGAAAGTGCTGGATCTTAACAGGGAGCTCAGAAAAAAAAAGAACTAAATTAGTTTCAGCTCTCCTGCCATCACAGTTCTTGTTTGATCCGTCCCCCCTTCCCTCACCAGGTACCAGTGGAACAGGATTATCCGTGTTTCTCACTCCACCTGTCAGACGTCATTAGACGATGACTGATTCCCTCATGTTTCCTCGCTCGCCGAGTCAGGATATTAATGCAACAGATTTCCTGTGTTTATATATAAAACACTGGCCCCTGCATGAATAATGGAGGAGCACTCAGCTTTGGAGCTGTGTGGGCAGAGAGTAAATTGTTTTCACAAGGACAGCATGGCATAAGGGCAGAGCAGGTTTAGCAGAGAGACTTTCTTCTGCATCTTTCCTCATTCCGTTTCTTTTTTTTTTCTATATTCATACAGAGTGATAGATTTTTAATGTTTATGTCTGCCTGTGTGAACGATTATGGCTCACGGCAGATGAAAACCCTAATTCTGTCTCTCAGGAATATTGAAATATTAAGTATTTTATTTGGGCCGAGATTTTTAATACAAACAGTGATGGCCTCCCGAAAAGTATGTCCATCTGCCGTGCAGTGTGTTGTCGTTTTCGGTGTCAACCACATGATTCATGTGATGCAAAAAAAAAAAAAAGGTGTCTCCATTGCAGTTTTGCGAAATACATCCATTTTGTTACAGCTGAAAATCTGCCATTTTCAATTCAGCGAGTTTATTTTTGAAATTACAGTTTGCACAAAATGGAAACACAGCTATTTAAACCCAACTTTTTTGACAATTTTTGCGTAAATTTCGCAGTAAATTTGCTCGACGATAAGTTGTCCCAGATATCATGATGAACAATATTACTGTGACGTGACGGTTCAGACTGCAGAAAACAATCGGATATATACCCGAATTAGTACCACACATCTGTTTTTTTTTTTCTTTTTCTTTTACGGGGGTAAAACGACCAGAATTGCGTCATTCAGACTGTGGTGAAAAAGTCGTCCGTAGGTCGCATGAGGCCATTTGAAGGTGAATGTTGTGGAGAATACCAAACCAAAATCTAATCAACATCCTGTAGCGAGACTTTAAACTTTCCGTCTCACTCCAGCCTTTTTAGATCTACAGTGTTTTTAATCGAGCTCACTTCAGTTTTTGTAAAGCTGACATCAAACGCCATCCCAGAAGATAACGTCCTCCTGGCTCAGCCCAGTGTTTGATTAACAAGTCGAAAATATAAAGAAAAGAAAAAAAGAAAACACTTGCACAATTCCCTCCCCTGCTTGGAATGACAACAATGCTGATAAGGCAGCATGAAGAGAGCTTATTGGCCGCTCCCGGTCTGGCGGACATACGGAAAAATGCCCCCCGCTGCATTGTGGGTGTTGAATGGTGGCCTCTGTCTGTGGCGAGGACACACTCTGACCCTCATCCTGCTCCCACTCGCTCTCTGTGTCGAAACTCGGACACACTCGCATGTTGGAAACGGAATCTGAAATGCAAATTTCAGCTTTTATTCCCTCTTCTCACACACGCACGCACACACACACACACACACACATGCATTAAGAGTTGTGTCAGTCCAACAGGCAGTGCTGTGTGCAGCGCTGAGATAGTCTTCTGTGTCCAATTATTATGGCAGCTGTAGCACCCAGAGAAGTGTGCACACTCTCTCCGGGGCGACAACGCCACACGCAGATAAGGTTTAATTGGAAAACGAGCTCACTCATCGTTTTCCTCTTGCTTTCATGTCCTCTTTGCCTCTTTCCTCCTCCTATCTCTTCCTCGCCCCCCTCTTGTGTTTCCACCAACTTACCCGGCCCAACTTTGTCTCCTTGCCCTCCCCGTCCGTCTCGTCTCCAGTATCTGCCTCGCGTTTTAAACGGAGGGCATTTCTGTGCGGCCGCTGTGCGCGGGGAGCTCGTTTGAACAGAACAGAGGAAAAACATGATGGCGCTTCCTCTGCGACTTAGCGTCTAGTTTCTTCTTTGGAGGATGCTGCGTAGGAAGGTCTACCAAGTTCAGGTTGGAACGTAAAATTCAGGCTTCGTTCTTTTGTAAAGCGGAAAAAGATCCTGTTATAAAAACAGAAAATACATGTACTGTCATTGTGTGTTTTACATGTTGTGGATGTTGTCGTTTTTAGAGTTTTGTCGTTAAAGTTCAGATGGATAAAGAACTTCTTTGTTTCACCGATGATCGTTGAGCCCATTGGATTCATGTGAAACTCTTCTCTTGTCATATTCATGTCTGACCTAATCTTTGGTTAAAGAGGCAGTGTTATGTGCTTTCTAGCCACAGAGTATCATTTACAGCACAGTCAAGTAATTATGTCAACTTCAGTGAAAATTTGACTTTGCGAGAAATTGGGCATTTGTGCCTTTAAGAAACTCCTGTTCTTTCTGAGACTCCGCCTTGAGGAAGTCATCACAACATGGCTCCTCTGTTAACCCTTTAACAACATTTTTACCAGTGTTACACTGAGAAGTAGCTCCTATAATGAGCTACCAGTTCCACCAATGAGCTGCATGGTTGCCATGGGAGATTAAAGAATTTCTCAAACATGCATGAAAGAATCAAAGCAACACTCCAGTTATGTTTTTTGATGACATGGCGGCAATTTGTTTTGTAAAGTTCCTTGATACATTTGTTGAGAATTGGTGCTATATACATAAACTTAACTGAGTTGAATTAAAGCTCACAACAGTCCAATTTGCATAATACTTCTATCCCTTAAAATACAGATTTCTGTTGTCAAATTTTAATATAACACATGCACATACAAAAAGCAGTTTTCAAATGAGGATTTTATTAGCAGAAAAAGCCATCAAAATTTTGTTGCATTAAAGGGGCAACTTTCTTGAGCTTTACACCATGTTATAATGCTACTAAATTATCACACAAAAAAAATGCCTGAGTGTTACTTTGATTCTGTCACGCATGTTTGAGTAAAGTATTTACTTTAATCCCCATAGCAACCATACAACTGTGCAAAACTCCTGGGTACACCGAAGTGCAGATCTCCCCCAGGACTCCACTCGGCTCCTTCAGACTAGCCAGCAGCAATTAGCAAACACCTGGTGAAACTGCAGAGCTCATTATAGGAGCTATTTCTCAGTGCAACACTGGTAAAAATGTTGTTAAAGGGTTAATAGAGGAGCCATGTTGTGATGACTTCCTGGAGACGGAGTTTCAGAAAGAGCAGGAGTTTCTTAAAGAGACAGGCCCAATTTCAAGGTATAGCATTTTTATTATAAATCCTGCCTGTTTGTGTTAAACTAGGACCTCCAGGCAGAGGTGGACGGCCACGAAGAGCTGTATCACTCCCTGGATGAGAACGGCCAGAGGATCCTGACCTCTCTGAGGGACCCTGAGGACCGGGTTCTGCTCCAGAGGCGTCTGGACAACATGAGGCAGCGCTGGAACGACCTGCGCAGCAAGACTCTCAGCATGAGGTGAGACACACCTGGACTGCAGACGGACCAAAGAGGGAGAAATGCTTCAGTTTGGATCCAGATGATTTAAAAAAAAAGAAAAAAGGTGGGAGGAAAAAGCTTGTGCTTCTTTGGTAGGTCACAGCTGGACTCTGAGATGGCTCCCTGGAAGAGGCTCCACATGTCACTGCAGGAGCTGCTGAACTGGCTAAGGCTCAAGAGTCAGCAGCTGGAGCAGGAGAAGCCTGTAGGGGGCGATGTTCCCACCGTGCAGTCCCAGCTGGATACACACAGAGTAAGGGGGAAACATGACACAAGCTTATGTCTAAGATTAATAAGGAAATATGTGATGTTTTTTTTCTGGCATAAAATTGTTTTAATTAGACTTTATTGGATTAAAAAAACAGAAAATTGCTGTGTTTAGGGACGATAATAAAAGCCTAAAATGAGAAGAATCAGACTGGAAGAATCCATGACCTCCTGAAACTCACACTAGCATCATAATTTAATTTCTACATGCAGGGTTTGCCACCAAAAAATACAAAAAAAACAAAATAAGTAAAGATTAAATATAATGTTCTGTCATGGTAAATGGTAAAACAGCCAATGAAATCGAAGAAAACCTCCAGTGTAGCTGACACTCGATTCCAAGCATCGTTTGTTCTGAGATCAAAGATAAGTGGAATGAAAGCTACCTCTGGTGTAAGTAGATAAGAGACTTGAACATGTGCGTGTGTGTGCGTGTGTGTGTGTGTGCGCGCGCGCGCGCGTGTGTGTGTGTGTGTGTCCGTCATAGGGGTTCAAAATGGAGCTCAGAGCCAAGGATCCGGTGGTGACCAAGGCTCTTGATGATGTGGGATTCTTCCTGTCCGAACTGCCTAGAGAGTCGCCATCACCTGAACTGAGAGGTAATACACAGACGCACACACACACAAACTTCATTTATGTCTAAAACAGATTCGCTGACATAAATAACGCATTTATTCCTGCTTTATAATGTTTTTGTTTTGAGATTGTTCCTTCAAAGAACCATTTGACATTTATTTATTTATTTATTTGGTTATTTTATTCATTTACAGTTTAAGATGAACATGCCACATGTTGACTTTAACAAAAGTTTTGACTTTTCCTCAAAGGTCAATTAACTACACCTTGAGTAGTCAAAGAAGTCTTCATGAAAATGTTATTTACTACATTGTTTAATCATAAATTAAACAGTGATCTCCCACGTTCTAGGTTCAGTTTCACACACCCTGTACACTACCTGACCTGTAGAATGATGAACTTTTGGATTTGGAGGATTTAAACTCCTTCAGTTCTCAAATCTGACATAAAGGAAGGAGGATTAGCTTTCCCTCTCTCTTTGCTCATAAATTAAAAACATGCCTAGTGACAGCCTAGCGACGACTGCTTGTGGAGGTCGACACGGAAACGCAGTGGCAGATGCTTTACTGGCCGTGCTGTTTGCACCATGGCAGCAGCTTGGACTACAAAACAAGCCAAGCCTAAAGTGTGGTCTAATAAATCTGACAGGCTGCCAACTTGAGCAGGTTCAGAGAGGAAGAGGGGAATTCCAGCGTCTGCTCAGTCAGTGCTTCAGGCAGCAGCTCTATCGCCCTCATGTGGCTCTCAGAGTTTGGCCAAGTTTAATGGCCAAAATTCAACAACTTGAGGGACAGACAGAAGGGTGTAAATACCTTTCTAAGGCGCAAATATTTCTATGGTCTAGTCAAAATTTTGACCTAAATCCTATTGAGAATCTGTGGCCTGGCTTGGAAATTGGGGCTTACAAGAGCTTTTTATCCAACCAGACTGAACTTGAGCTATTATGTGAAGAATTGGTGAAAGTTTCTGGAAACATACCAGTTTCTAGAAACATACTAGTTGTACCTTCACAGAGGCACAACTGATCAAATATAGCTTAATAAATGAGGCTGTTGCTATGAGTTACTCATTTTGCCAGACCTGGCTTATCCCAAACGTCAGACATCAGCCCGGAGGAGCGTGCTCAGAACGTGGGCCGAGTGTTGCGCAAAGAGGCGGACGACGTGGTGAGCCGGTGGGACCGGCTCAACGTCGACTCGGCCGACTGGCAGAGGAGGTTGGAGTTGGCCCTGGACAGACTGATGGAGCTCCAGGAAGCAGAAGACCTGCTGGACAAGCAGCTGAAGCAGGCGGAGATGGTGAAGCAGGGCTGGGAACCCGTAGGGGAACTGTTGATTGACTCCTTACCTGAGCACATCAGCAGAGTCAAGGTAACTCCAGAATAAACCAACAGAGAATAAACCAAGACTCTGTCTTCATAAGAGTAATTATCTGCATTGTCATTTTAATCTGAGTGTTTACAAATGTTTATATATATATATATGTGTGTGTTTCTCTTTGGCTCAGGAGTTCCAGGAAGAAATAGCTCTGATTAAGGACGATGTGACACACATGAACCATTTGGCATCCACGTTCGATCCATCCGACATCCAGTTGTCTCCTAGCAACCTGGAACGCATTGAAGACCTCAACACGCGCTGGAGACTGCTCCAAGTATGTACCCTTAAACATTCTCGCGCGCACACACGCACACACACACACAAAACTGTCTCCAACCTAAACCAGGGTACTAACCCTCCAATCTGGTTAGCTCCTGGTTCCCTAACCTTGCCGTTTTTAGTTATTTAACTACAATTTTACCTACTAAAATGCTCTCATTTGCAATCATGACCAGTGGATGACTAAATTCAGCTGTGTGAAGACATTTTACCTGTCATTGTAAAGGTCTCTTAACTTAATTTATATGTTCATGGATTGAGAGGTCAAAGCTTTTACCTTATTAGGACATTAGCCTGAGTGCCTTCCATCAAAATGTTAAGGTGGCTGAAAAGCTGAAGCACTGAAAACACATGTAGGCAAAGCTTTTAAGGACGTTAGAGCAATGTTTGCACTTTATTAACCAACCAAGGCTGACATTGCTTTGACTAAATTTAGCCAAGACCTCAGCCCCAAACCGTGTTAAGTTTTCTTGCAAAAACAATTGGTGAAGTGAATGACAATCCCAACTTTGGTGGGGTCATGGTTCATTAGGTACAGAGGTCACACACACACACGCACACACACACTTGCGGTTCCATATTGGTGGAAAACCTGCCTCTTCACAGATTTATATTATAATCCATATCTGAAATATTTAAAACAAAATGCAGCTTGAGAAGCTGGAATAGCTAAGCGCAATGCTAATTCACACGCTATTGGTTAGTGTTTGCAAAACAGCCAATGGAGGAATGCCATTCGTTTTCCTTTATGTTGATTGGTTGTATCCCCCAAGAGCGGAGAATAGGAAAATCATGGACGGTAGTTTCTGCGGTAGATGGTTTCTGCTTGGCACTACTGCTTTGTGAATTAATTCATATTAATTAACATTAGGCAGCTAATGAGTTATGCCATGTTAGCAAGATTGAATTTAGCCTTAATGCTATCACTAAGCTAACTAAGGTTGGATACAAACACATTTTTTTCCAATCATTAAACTTATTTACTGTTCAAAATGTGTTCTTTATACAGCCGATAAAGAACACAAAGTTTGCACACAATGAATAAATTCTAGAACTGCAGTGCTAAAATCATGTGGAAGTAGCTGCGTTAAGTTAGTTCTGATTTGTTCCTTTGTGTATCTGCTGGTAAATCCTTCTGAAAGTTTTTCAGAAGGATTTGTGGCCAAGATAAATTAGATAATGTTAGAATCTAACCGAGTATTACCCCCAAAAAAATCTACTTTAATGGCTCAAACTTGAGCAAATTTTCATTTTTTAACACATTAATTAGTTGCTTATTCAGTATGTAAAGCAAAATAAAATGTTGAAATGGTGAGTAATTACATGTATTTAATATGTAATAAAAGAATATATCATCAGGTTGTAGTAGCAGTAGCTGGCTGAACTAACATTTAAATGATAGACTGTACTCCTGAGACTACACCAAGTCTTTTATCACAACCGGCTTTTATGATCTGAGGGCTCTTCTAAATATTTTAGACATTTTGGCTACTACTAAGATTACTATGATTAAACTGAGCTAGCTCAGCCTTCATGGTAGAATCCTTTCATAATGACGAGGTGCCAGTGATCAGAGGCAGTTCAGCCTCGGTTTGTGTCAGCAACAATAAACACCACCCTTTGTGTACTGGAAGTCAACCGGTGATCATAACAGGGTGTGACGGATAGAGCCAATCAGCCGGATGAAATGGATGCCTGGATGCAACAGCAGTGACGGGACCAGAAGGCTGGTCTTTCTGAAGTTCGGACCGGAGCAGATGCTTTGGCACCGACACAAACATTTGGCTTTCTTTTTTGCAACAATAAACCAAGGTGTTTCTTTGCTCGGCTTTAGCCATAACACACAGTTCACTACTGTGTGTTATGGCAACCATGGGAACTTCTTGTAATATCAGCTGGGTCTGCAAATAAATTTATTTGATGCAAAAAAAACAAAAAAAAAACAGTGAATAATAAAATGTCCATAAAAGAAATTGGACCCTATCGCAATAGAATCAGGACTCATCTCTACGGATGTATTAAATGTTTGCATATGGTTTAAGTGAGGCATCTCAAGACGTTTCTTATGTCTCAAACATACAGTTAAACCTTCAAGAACTTTTCAAGAGCATTGACCTGAGCTGAAATCCAGTGTTGGCCAGTGATGCAGTAGTTTGTTCAGTCATCACGGCAATCGTGGAACTGTACATTTTGAAGAATGCACTTCTGAAGGAAGGGGTGAACAACAAAACCTGCCGAACCAATGTGGAGTGTTTGACTGTTTTACTGATCTGATACCAAAAGCTAAAGTCGTAATTACTTTGGCTTCTCTTGTTTGTTTTTCATTGTCCTTTGAGTGTTGCCATTTAGAGTTTAAACTGGTTCTTAAAAACTTCTTTTAGTCTTCAATCTAGGTATTAATGATTTGTTTAGATGGGATTATGTCTAAACTTAATTTTGTACATCTCATATATGTGTATGTCTGTGTTGGGAGGAGGGAAATAGCTCGAGATTCAGCTCTTTCAAGCGAGTTCACGTTGTTCTTTTATGCCTAAAGGGTCGCAGGTGATGGTCAACATAGGCACAAAGTGCACTCTCGGTAATAGCAGCAGGTTCTGCCTCAACAATCCCACACCGTCTCTTGTACAATTCTAATCAGGTTACCGTGGATACGGGAAAAAGCAACTCGGGCAGCAATGGACTGGATGAGGTGGACTCAAAGGTAATTTCAGTTCCTGGCTGCATAGAAGCAGAAAAACTGGGACGGGCCATCACTGTCACATCTTCTTCATCTCACATCGCGGCTCTCCTCCTCTCACTTCCTCTTTCCCATGCTGTGTCATCAGCTGCTTTGTCATTTGGGTAGCAGATGAAAGGTTGGATGTTTAATGAGCCAGTCTGTCCACAAAGATGGACTCTAACCCATCTCAGTCCAGCAGCTTGAGGACTTCAACACCCAAGCTCACACACATACCATGGTGCTTCCCCTGGGGACTTTAAAGATGTAGCTTCCTGGCAGGCGTTGACAAAGCAGCAAGAATCAGCTGAATTTCCATCATTTTCTATTAAGGAATGATATTTTGCCATGTATTTAATCTTCACAGACACTACTTTACTAAAAATAGTGCCACCAGTATGTCTGTCTCGTGGCTCCAGGACTATTCACCCCTCCACAAATGTGTTCCTTCTGCTGGTAGATATTATTTATGGAAGTCATAAAACCACAAATTGAAATACAGACTATAGAAAATTATATTTAAGAACCATTTTTGACATTAGTCTTTTTAATTCTACTAAAAATAACATTGATAGGAAACCAATAGCAGTGTTGGCAAGGAAACAATCCACATTAACAACTAAAATTAATTACTGAAATAAATTAACTTTATGGTGATGTTCAAATCTATTGAAATGCCTATGGGAAAGTCTCAACCTCATCAGGTTTTGATCCAACACAGACTTTTAGCAATCAGGCTAAACTTGTGCTTTTGTCAAGTTATACAATACTGGGGAGCTACCAGATCATCCACAAGAACTTTAGCTGAAATTTTAGCAGAAATACTGGAACACTTTAGAATGTTTTATTTCTATTTATCAAACAATGATCTTGTTGTCAGTCCTGTCCTTTAAAATCTAATTTAAAAAGTGTTTGTTTGTTGTTGTTTTTTTTGGCAGAAATGAACCTAACCCAAAAGGTTCATAGATCCTGGTGGTATTTATAATAGTTTCAATTAAGGAGGAAGTGAGTTGACAGGAGAGTGGGACTCCTGTTGTTTTGCTACGTTTTACATTTCAGATAACATTTGTAAATGAAGCATGTAGACATGCCTCATTCAGACTGTGTCACCCTGCAGTTCCTCGACTTCACATTCAGTCATCCTGTCCATGTTCATCTTTGTTTTCTTCACTCAGGCCACCAATGTGTTCTTATGTACACTTTATAATTATTTACAAGTGTCGATTTAAATGTATATAATTTAGATTTATTTTTGTCGATATATTTGGCTAAAATAACTTTTTTTCTTTTTACGCACAAACCAAACGATGCAACTAAAACAAGTGGACGTAGCTTGTTAGTTGGTGATTAAAAATAACATCAAAGTGGAGGGAAAAACATACATCTGGAAAATGTAAAGATGATCTATTCCATTACTTTTTTACACGCTGCAACCGAAGAAACTAAAGGCATAGTTCAAATTTTGCTGAAGTTGGCAAAATCTCGATAAATTAGTAGATAATTGGCAAGATTTAATTTATTCAAAATGAAGGGATATAACACAGAATAATACTCTGGAAAATCACTTTGATCAAATACATTTTAATTGTATGAGAACAGCTCTTCTAAAACTCTAAACTATCCTTGTTAGCTTTTAGAATTATTGAATTGATTTGTGTTTTGGTCATAAAATGTATCTAAATGAACATCAGAGGGTCAGGCAATGAATAAAAATGTTTATTTTATTTTTCTTAGAATGGCTCCTGCTTTCTGTCTAACAGATATCTGTCAAAGAACATCTGAAGCAGCTGACAGACGCTCACACAGACTTCTGCCTTTCTCAAGGTGAGGCCCCGCCCCTCTCATATTCATTTCTATATGCCCAATAAAATAAAATAAATGATGCTAAACTTTATGATTTTGCCAGGTTTTACTCTGTTGATTTTGGTAGCTGTGTGGTTTTTTTAAAATCTAATGTAAACCCCCAAAATACACGAAAATAAATAAATGATACAGGAAAGTATTCAACCATAAGCCATAAAAGGTTGTTAATGGATAGTTATGTGAAAGGAGGAAGTGTGTTAGGAAAAAAGAACAAGAAGCTGGGACAATTTTTTATATCTACTGAAAAACAGAATAGTTTACATATCAGGGTAAATTAAAGAGCAGGCTCGCTTTGCAACATCCTATCTTTGTAAAGGTCAAGTAACAAAAAGAAGATTAAAAAGAAGAGTATCTTGGGATTTGTTGCACCTTTTTCCCCCAGATAATGCATAAACTGTGTGAAAGTTCAGGTCTTTTGTTGTGACACTCCTCATCTGTCCCTGTGTCTTCTCCAGGATCGGTAGAAAGACCGTTCGAGCAGGGCATCTCTCCAAACAATGTGCCCTATTATATCAAGTAAGTGCAGATCTCTGGGTGGTGGGCCAGCTGATCCTCACATTCTCCTGCCCTTTGTGAAAGCAGCTCTGTTTCTTCTGTTCTGAGATAAACGGATTTCCCTTGGGAACTTTAACTCAACTTCATGTTTGTTTTTAACATATTTACCGCCTTTACTTCTTCTGTTTTGTTTTACATATATATGACGTATGTTTCAAAAACGACTAAAGCTTAGTCGTTTCATACTATTTTTCTACTCATACTATTTTTGTTTGATCGATGTCAAGAGAAGGACAGTATATAGATACATTCCGACATTTTGTGGTTCAATGATGTTGAAGGCTGATTTGGGACAAACTTATGAACCACTGTACATCAACCATAAGGGAACATTGTGACAAAGAGCTTTTGGAAGAATTGCAAGTCAGTTGTTCGTGCTTACTTCAAGTCCTTAACGCAGATTTCAGACCGCAAGCATGTCGCCGTCTGAAAACAGACCACAAGATGCTTAAGAGTCTTAAAAAACCCTTAAACGTCACCATGGAAAGGTCAACGTTCTTGCTAGTGTTGTACAATCAGAAAGAGGCTGCTGAAGTTACAAAAAGAAGAATTGGAAGAATCTGATATAAATTATTTGGACACCAGAGCGGAGAACATGTTTGAACTTTTCCTTAAGAGGTCAACCTACGCCGCAGGGATCACACGCTGCTGTAAAGTCTTGGACAAATTGTCAGCTTACCAGGAAAAAAGATGAGATGCTACAACCGAACACATGCTTTTGCATTTTAAATCAGCTGGAAGCTTTTCAGTAGCAGCTGTTCATGTTTAAATACCGGCGAGGATCTCCTGATGGATCCACATGTTTTCACTCTACAGTTGGTACTCATCAGTAATTGGGGGCATAAAATCCAGAGTGGATCGTCCGAATTTCTGCAGCTGTATTCGTATGGGCACGAACGGCTATTGTTTCACTGCACGCACACACACACACACACACACACCTCCACACTGTTCCAGAGTTAATGTAACAGTTGAGACTTGTCCGCACTTTTCTTCTCAGTCCTGCAACACTGACTCCCAAAGCAGAGCTACTCCCCCCACCTCCCCTCACCCTTCCTCCTTATCTCTCCTTTCTCACAAGTAAAAGACACTTTGCTCTCCTTCCCTCCTCTAGCTCTCTCCCAGCCGGCCTTTATTGTTCTCCCTCTGCTTCACGATGCCGAGTGCGAGTGGTGTTTAGCTCTCACTATCCGTCCTTCTTGTCAGGGAGGTGAAAACCCCCCTCAGATGATGTTCAGGCTCTTTTGCTCCCTGAAACAGCAGGAAGGGGGGGAAGGGATTCAGAGGCAGGGAGCCTGATCTCTGCCTGGTCTAGCAGAGCTGTGGGCCGATGCTGAGCGGCAGGCCAGGCTAGACAGGAAGTAAGCAGGGTTTAATTTCAAAATAAAGATCTTCATTAAAAAAAAAAAAATTGTGGCTAAGTGTAAAAGAATACTTCAATCTTAGAAGCTAAAATCGAAACAGACCTCTAGAGTTTCAAAGCAACTCTCACCTGAAGTGACATTTTATACAATATATACTGCTAATTGAAGAAGGAAATAGAGGTTGGAGGTTGTGCCGCACCAATAATCTTCCTATGTCAAACATAAATTGAACAGGACACTTATATTTGTCAGTATAAATTAACGACAGACATATGAAATATAGAAATGAAAATGAAATCTACATTTATTTGAAACTATTTTAAAAGTTAGAATAAGTATTTATTTAGAATGAATACAAGTAAAAATAGAACTAAAGCAAAGCTAAATTAGAGGTTAAATTAAGTATGTGGCTATAGTTTATTTTCGACTACAAAAAATTTTGTTGATTTTGTTCCGACAATGTATCTTAGCAATTTACTGTATGAATACTGTAGAAAACCCTGTTTCTTTTCCTTAAGTGGTGCCGCATCATCAGAGTTGAGTATGTGGACTCTTCCCATTTAAAAAAAAATAAAATAAAATCCTCTCTTCAAACAGCCTAACCTATGAAATTATGGTGGCGTACCTGATTAACTAAGAGAAGAGAAAGAATTCAGCTGCTGGTTGCTGAATCCCATCTTAACATCTGTCTGGATTTAAGTTAACCTTCAGTCACCACAGGCTTTGTTTTCCCACAGATGCTGCTTGTAAATGGTTTATGTTGTTACTGCTTCATTTTCCCCCCACACACATTTTTATTTGCAAAACATAAGTTGTTTGGCATTGAAAAACACATACCAAATTTTGCTGCTCAAGCCACAAATGCATTTTTTTAAAACAAATATGACAGAATTTAAGGGGATAGAAACAGGCTTTCCAACTGTAGGTGGGTGAAGTGTCTTAACCAAGGACACGACAGGAGAGGGGATTGGACTGGAACAACCCATTTGTCCCCCATCACCCCCTCAGCATGAAAGTTGAAGCCAGATTCTTTTACTCTGTGTAAAAACAAAGCAATGTTTTCCACTGCCTAACATTAAATCAGACTAAGTGTTTCCTTCCCAGACGATGATGTCACATTTGAGCTATTGGGAGGCACACTTTAAATACATCACTTTATTGTATGATGTCACTGGAAGATCAAGACAAGCCATGCAAGTTTCAGAGTGGACATTCCTAATGAATACTTAAAAATATAATTATAAAAATAGATTGTTAGGAATAATAGTTTATTTAAGAACACAAATGGTTACATAAAAATAACATAAAATAACCACATGGATTTACATATTGTCACCTTCTTAAACTAATGGTCTAATTTATTTTTGCCAAAAGTGATTTTGACTTTAAGACAAAAAATCAGCCCCTCAAAATTTTAGGAAGGTGACAATATTTAAAAGACATTGCAATCTAAGAACATTTTTAAATTAATCCTGATAATCTTAAATATGAATACAATGTTGCATGTGCACAAGTTTTACTAGAATTACTCATATTAACTTTTGATGTTCTTATAATTTATTAAGACCCCCGGCCCCCTCCTGAATATTTGGACTGAGCCCAGTGTTTCAGAATCCTAGCTACGCCTCTGGGAGCATTGTTGACGACCTGAGTTAAACGCCTGTTTTGCTGCTCGAAAGTAAGAGGAATTTGTTTCAGAGTGATGCCGAAGCCATAAAATAAGTGGTGAAACAAGTGGTTGCCGCTTTTATTTTGTCTGACCCAGCGGAAGTGTTCCTCCGCTGTATTTTCGCGACGTGTTAGCCTCCGCAGCCCCGTCGCTGCCGCTTGCAGAGAGGAACACACACCGATTCGCTTAGGCCCTTCACGGTAACCTCGGACGCCTCTCGCCGGTGTCAGGAGACGCTCCGTCCGCCTTGTCCTCCTCCTCTCTCCTCGCTGAGTCGAGCCATCACCTCTGGACTCGCAGGGCTGTGATTTGCGGGCGATGCGGGAGCAGTTTCGGAAGTGAGTAGCTGCAGAGGGGCTGGGGAATGTTTGTGGTGCTGATAAATAATGGGGATGGTGGTAATGCAGGGGAGCTTTTCACGCCGCTCGCACATCGACCGTGTGCTTTGACTGTCAGTCAATTATAACAGAATATTAAAGCGAATTGTCGGTTTTGCTGAGAAATGAGCGAGAAGCGCTTTTCCCTTTCTCCGCTAATGAAGTGGGAGGTCAATGGTTCTCTTTGGGAGTGATTTAACCCTTCCTGCGGTTGTTACCGGGGGAGCGAGGCGAGGTGTGCGGCCACTCGCGCCTCCTCGAGCCGCTCTCCTCCCCGCTCCTCTGCTGCCATATTGGAACATGAATCTGTATATATTCAGCCCGGAGCTGCGCCTGCATGTCAGCAGTATGTGATTGAATTTTTCCCACTGGGGAATACGTGGTAATCTCAACGAGTGTAATACACAGACCCCCGCCGTCAGTGCAGCAGTGTTTGAATTCCTTCACACTCCACACACGGTCACCTTCCTGGCAAATCGGCGCTGAATTGTTGCACATTTAGTGCTGTTTTGCACCGATCCGATGATCCACTTATCGGTTTTCAGCATGGCTGGATAGGATTTAGTCTTTATGGGAATGGCTGCTTCCCATTTTTGGCACCCATGTGATTGCAGGTGTGTGTGTGTGTGTGTGTGCGCGTGTGCAGGTGTGTGTGTGTGTGTGCGCGCGCGTGTGCGTGCTCCGACCAATTCACTTTTTAGTCCATGACTATTTGATTGACATGAAAAAAAGTCATGAAACAAATGTCAATTTTTAGAAAAGCATGAGCACTTGAATGAATACCAACATATAGAAACCAACCTAGTTTAGACCTTCTTAGCATTTCTTTTTAAATTAAGCAGCATCGTGGGGTATTTTGGACAGAGAATGGCTATTTAAGGTCATGCCAAAGAATTTCATTCGTTTCTCAGCCTGCACTTTGACTAGACCACTCCAAAACCTGCTTTTATACATGTTTGTTGGCAAAACTGCTGGTTTGCTTCAGATTATTACCCTGCTGCGTAACAGCAAACACGTGTTTAAGCCTAAAGTTCTTCTTCAGGATTTATCTCTGTAGATTATGTCAATATTGTTAGCAACTAGTACCTAGCTCGTTGCTGTGCTTTAAAATTCTGTTATTCTCTCACCTTTTTTGAATAAGTACACATAGTCACTTAAATGTGCTAGAAGCTTAGAAAGAAGTTTCAATTTATTAATCAATTCCTCTCATTGCTACTCAAGAGCTACTTCTCTATAAGAAGAGTCTTAATCATGCAGGGCATCGAGTGTGAAGCTCTCTCTGTCCTATCCAAGGGATAGAATAGCCTCTTTTTGAATGATACAGCAGCAAGAATAGCCCTTAGACTGTAGTGTGTTGAGAAATACTGCGCTGCTTTACAATTATGATATTTCATGCCACAGATCCATGTGGTTTTACATCGGTTTTACTCTTTAAAACATCTATCTGAGCCCTGGTATGCCCCTCAGCTGTGACATCGGACCACCGTCTTTGTGCATTTTTTACTAGTCCTAGTCAAATACATTTGTAATTCAGTGCATTTACGTATGTGTTTAAAAAAAAAAAAAAAAGGCCAATATTAAACCTCAGATATCGAAAGGGGGGAAAAAAGGGGATCGGTCGATCTTTCAACCAGTACCAATGTTCTGGTTGAAACGCCAAAAATGAGATGAGGAATGTATATTGATAGCAAACATTTAACATTAGTATAATATTTAAATTTAACATTAATTTTCTTGACATTTTTCTCATATCTAGGTCTGATCCAGTCTCATACCTTGAATTATCTCTTTGATTTCCATTTACAACTTTGTAATCAAAGTGTCGTTTTCAGCTGGTTGCTGAAAAAAACGACAGCTGTTCACTGTTACATGAGTCAACGCTCCACGTTGGACAAACACCTCGCTTGACCCGCAGCCGTTCTCGGTCCCGATGCGTTGCCGTGTTGCCGGTGAAAGCAGCTGCTGCGCGTTCATTCGGGGGCGTTTGTGTGAGCGGCGCTCTCATGACGAGCTGCTGTTTATCCACACTTTGAGGCTGAGGATTTTAGAGTAGCTCTTCACCAGGGGACCCCTCTCCTCATTATCGGGAGTGTGAGTGTGGGAGAGAGGCAAAACAAGCCTGCGGGCCGATTATTGTTTGTGCGTGCTTCAGAGACGGAGGTTAACTGCGGGTGTGCTCTCGTACAACCAGCTGGACCCACGTTGACCGCTTCCCAGCTGGACCAGGTTGCGTTTGTGCACTGCCTTGGCCCCAGGTAGAAACCGGACAGCTTGAAAAAGTCCGAGCTGCACTGCGTTCTTCTTCTCTTCTTTGTTTTGCTCGATGCAGTGGTTGAGCCACACCGCCCACTGTGTTCAGCAGTCACCCACTTTGCACACCTACTATTAAAGCCTGACCTGAAACATCCACCTGCACAGAGGAGAACACCAAGATATCATTTCACCTTTATCCCTGGCTTTATTTACTTCGAATACTAAAGTATGGCTGGAAAGGTTTTAAACTAGTAATGTGAAAAATAGTTTTTCATATTTGGACATTTTAACAGTGGTGAGAAATCCAAATAATATATAAAAAAATGTGCATCATGTGTGGGGCCAGTTGAAAAAATAAGAATAAAGCTGAAGCAGAACTGGACATTGACCCAATATGTACCAGTATGTCAGCCAATCAGGGTCTGAGAGTGAAGAAATTAAGCTATAGGCCTAGTCAAAGCCCAGATTTTTCCTTATTCAGCAGCAATATCACATGAGAGAGAGAGAGCAGTTGCTATAAAGCAGGGTTTAATTAATATTTAAATGTATTATTCATTTTGTGGCATTATTTCAAGATACGCTTAGCATCTCATATTAGCAATTAGCCTTTAATGAAGCTTACTGGAAAATGAGTTCAATACCAATACAAACAACCATGTAGGGAGTGAGATCTCTGTCAACAATATGACGTCTTAAATATTCCTCTTGCTCCGACTACAATTCTTAAACAGCAAAATGTCTGTGTCAAATCAGTGTCATTGTTCACAACTCCTGATTGGCCCAGTTTAAATCTCACTGGAGAAATCAGGCGGAATTGGATAGGAAGGCAAATGGCCGATCAAACTTCAGCGAGAAAATGGTTAATTATTTGCTTTCTGTAAAAACTGGATATGACATTCCTAAAACACCTAACTCCCCCCTCCATAACATGTTATGTATTATAAGCCTGGTGGGCCACCAGGCTGTACTTGCCAAAGGTAAAGCCTTGGAATTTGCATTTACTTTGTTTTAAATACAGTGCGAAAAAGTAATGCAAGCTAGTTGATGCATTTATGGTGACCCCTGCCACCAGACGGGTCTGGGAGAAACCCGTCTCCACAACATTTTATTGCTGTTGGTTCCATTAGTTTGTCGATCAGATAATTGAGTTTCCAACCAGCAGGTCAAGCTAAGAACCCTCCAACTTCTGTTGCAAGCTGGACTCCATCTATTTAGACCCAAATACTCTTGAACTTACCAACACAATATTTTAATCTTCCTCTGTTTTTGTCCCTTTGCAGCCACCAGACCCAGACGACATGCTGGGACCATCCCAAGATGACGGAGCTCTACCAGTCTCTGGGTAAGCATCACCTCAACGTCTTTTAAGGTGTTTTGAATGTTTTTTTTATTGGAGGGTTTAAAACTTACAACATAACGTTTTGCTCCTCAGCCGACCTGAACAACGTTCGGTTCTCGGCCTACCGCACCGCCATGAAGCTCAGGCGCCTGCAGAAAGCTCTCTGCTGTGAGTACGGTCGCGGTGGCTCCTCGCCCCGTCGCGACGCTGCGCCTCGTCCTCCCCATTCGCTGCTTTTCTCTTTCCCTCGTCTTCGTCCCGCCTCTCCTGCCTCCTCTGTACTATTAACCATCTGTCCCGTTCTGTTTCTGTTTCTGACGCATCATGGTGTCCATATGTGTGTTTACTCATCCCTCTCATCTTTTGCCTGTGGATCTGCAAAGTGGGAGCTGCCTACGTCTTTCTGTCAGGCTGCTGCGGCAGCACAGAGCAGAGGAATTATTTGTGACGCCAAAGCTTTTTATAAATAAAAGCAAAATCCCCCAGGAGTGGAGTTCTGGAGTTGAACATTTGCTTTGTGTGTCTCGTTGGTATGTTTCTAGCCACTCAATCGCAATTGAATTTAGGGCTGGACTTTGACTGGGCCATGCTTGCTACTTTGGTAGCTCTTAGTGCATGTTTCAGGTGTTTTTCTGCTCTAGTCTCAAGTATTTGTATGCTGCATCCCCTACTTGGCCTTCGGACAACTTTGACTAGGACTTTCTGTGGATTTGAATTAATGATATCAACAGTTTTATTTGTAATAGGATTAATTGTATGTCATGAAATCATTCCTTCTGAGGTTTGGAGGAATGGATGGCTCTACAGAGCTATGACGGTAAATTTAGCAAATATACTAAAAATACATTTATGATTATTCTTTTCTCCTTTATTTAGGATGGTTTGTTACAGTGGAATATTTTTCAAGTTACGCAGGAGAACCTTTGTAAAATTTCCTAACTTTTGCTTCAAGTACGCAGCTCTGAATTAAACCAAAAAAAAAAAAAAAGAAATTTACATTTTTTGTCTAATGCCAACAAGGAAGTAACTACTTCTGGAGGCAGTTCCTTACACTGAGCTCAATACAAATGTACTGTTTTCAGATGGTTGTTACACCATCAACGTCACTAAATAAAATATTTTAATCCGTTTAAAACTTTTGTGCCTGCTAAGGCTCAGAAACTTAAATGTTTCAAGACTTTTTGCAAATAACTGACAGGCTGTAGCTGATGATTGACCAGCGCCTTCGTCCTTCGGTTGTTGGGTGGCTTCAGTAGTGGTGTTCTCTGAGGCAATGTTGCTTAAAACTGTAACCTACTCAAGTGAATGTCACATGTAATTATCAACCAAATTTCTATTGCACCTGGTCCGTCTCAAGGCCTTGAAAAACTTGAACGCAACTGAGACCAATCAACACCAATTTTGTTTTTCTTTGGACTGTAGAAGATGAGGTTTGCAGTCAACAAAACTTGTAGAACATTATTTTTGGCGTTCCACAAGGACCCATTCTTGGCTCTTTTCTCTTTGTTGAGGAAAAACTCACCAAAACCTCTAAAAGATGTTCCAAAAAGCCTGGAGAGCTGCTGATTCAAACCGCTTTTTAGGGATTTCAAGAATGTCTGGTGACTTGGAAGCAAAGCTCATCTGTGGTGGTGTTTCTTTTCTTAGTGGACCTCCTGAGCATGCAGACGGCGTGCGAGGTGTTCGAGCAGCACACCCTGAAGCAGAACGAGCAGCTGCTGGACATCTCCCAGCTGGTGGCCTGCCTTACCAGCCTGTACCAGCGGCTGGAGCAGAGCCACTCCCACCTGGTCAACGTCCAGCTGAGTGTGGACATGTGCCTCAACTGGCTGCTCAACGTCTACGACACGTACGTGAAAGCACGCCCCGACACGACCCCAGGAGTGTTTTCCCCCCAGAGCTAACCAGGTTCTGAAATGTTGCTTTGGCAGCGGGCGCACTGGGAAGATTCGGACTCTGTCGTTCAAAACTGGAATCATCTCGCTTTGCAAAGCCCACCTAGAGGATAAATACCGATGTAAGTCCAACCAGCTCGTACATAAAACTAGAGGTTAAAATTTAAGTTGATATCGATCTGATATTAAAACCTGTATTGGTCCTGATTCTGAAAACAATTCTAGATCTATTAAGTTCAATTCCATGCTTTCTGCTCTATGCATCATACACTATATTTAGAATTCCTAATTATGCTTTCTGTAGCATTTTAAAGGTTTGTTGCTGTTAATTGTTACATGTTTGACCAACACAGTCAACCTATTGTTTTGTCAGTTTCAGTTTTTTTATTATTTATTTTACATGTGCTGTTACGCTGCTAATTGCACTGAGTGGATAAATTAAAGTTGTTTTTACTTGTTAGCTTGTGGAGCTATCTGTGTATTTAAGTGTGACATACTTAAATTTGTAATTCAGTGCATTTATGTTTAAAAGAAGGAATGGTTTAAGTCAATTCAGCTGTTTTTCTGTATCAGCCGATACGAGACATCAGATATCGGTTTTGGAAGTGAAAACACAAAACATGGTTAAAATCCATGCCTTGCACATTTTTGATTAATATTTGTTACTTAATGTTTGCTTTGTTTGAAAAATTATGAAAAATACCTAAAAATAATTTTTAGAAGAAGAAATGTATATTTTGTAATAAGGATATATGATCAAAGTGAATAATTAGAATTCATTGTAATCTTTTATAATTTTTTTAGTGACACTATTATTTTGAGTCACAATTTATTTTGTACAAGCTATCAAACTATTTTATGAGTTGATATTTATCCTTTTTTTTTAAGTTTTCATTTCTTTCTCTCTCTCTTCCCCTCTGCATCTCCAGTTTTGTTCCGACAGGTCGCCAGCGCCACGGGTTTCTGTGACCAGCGCCGCTTGGGCCTCCTCCTCCACGACTCCATCCAGATCCCCCGGCAGCTCGGCGAGGTGGCGTCCTTCGGCGGCTCCAACATCGAGCCGTCTGTCCGCAGCTGCTTCCAGTTTGTACGTGCCTCAGTCAGAACCGGTCGGAATAGACCTGGATGCAGACACAAGCAGTGGCTAATTCTGCGGGGTTACATGTGATTACTTGCCTTCTCATTCCCCCGCTGCCTGCCAGCCTGGCGGTGTGAAGGCAGCTTATCATTATCCAGATCAGTAGCTGGAGTCAACTTTGTAGTTTTGACTCTGCTGTCCTGCTTCTGTAGAGAGACGGAATGAAAGCGGAACATTTTCCTGCCTAACTCTTCTCTGTTTTTGTCGGGATTTTTAGTTGGTTTCTCCTCCCTGAAAAGACACTTTGAAAAATATGATGTTGTAAAAATCGACTTTTTGAGCTTTACATCATGTTATAATGTTGTTCCCTCAACAAAAACACACCTGGAGTGTTTCCTTTGTTCTTTCATGCATGTTTTGAAATCCTTTAATCTCCCGTGGCAACCACCTTGGGGCGACTCAGTTCCTGCTTCGTGGTGATGCGTTTGCAGTTTCCAAGATTTTAAGCTTCCGCCTCACAGAACAGAATCCTCCCCCAAATCCTCCACTCGGCTCCTTCAGACTAGACGGCAGCAATTAGCAAACACCTACTACCTTGTATTCATTATAGGAGCTATTTCTCAATGCAATGCTGGTAAAAACGTAGTTAAAGGGTTAATAGAGGAGCCGTGTTGTGATGACTTGTTGAAGGCGGCGCAGTTTCAGAAAGAGTCAGGAGCTTCTTAAAGAGACAGAGACCCAATTTTAGGACTTTAAATTACAAAGTCAAATTTCTTTTAAGTTGTATTTGATATATGTAGCATTTTTTTAACAACAGATGGTAATTTATTTACTTTACGTTTAACAGCAATACATTGAATGATGCATCTGAATAAGTTCTGAACCTAAAATTTCTTTATTACTCCCAAATTTAAGTTTCTAAGAAAATGTGTTTTCAGAAATGTGAGCATAGATGCACTGATGCGCTCAGTACCTGGTTTGGGTTTCTGTCGCATTCGTCTGAAGTTCTGTCTCTCTCTCTCTCTCTCTCTCTCTCTCTCTCTCTCTCTCTCTCTTTCTTTCTTTCTTTGCAGGCCAACAACAAACCTGAGCTGGAGGCCGCCATGTTCCTGGACTGGATGCGTCTGGAGCCTCAGTCTATGGTTTGGCTCCCGGTGCTGCACCGGGTCGCGGCTGCAGAAACCGCCAAGCACCAAGCCAAGTGCAACATCTGCAAGGAGTGTCCCATCATCGGGTTCAGGTGGGTGAAGTGGTTGAAATCAAAACCGATCCAATATTAATATCTGTGCCTCGACCAGCCGATACTGTATCGTATTGGATGCAAAATAATGGATCGGAGCGTCCCCAGTGATGCCATCCCATGTGATGAATTGGTCCTGATTTCCTTAAGTTTGGGATCAACTGATATCAAGGAAAATCAGAATCAGTAGACCAGGCTTTTCAAAGATCAGTGATCGGCCAGAAAACTGCAATCACTGCCTCCATAATTCATTCCTCTTATTTCATATTTTGTTTTGTTAGATGTGTTATGTCGACAGTATGGGGCAGGAAAAAATCTTTCCTTTGCCCACAACTGACTTCAGCTGCTTTGTGTGCTGCCAGATGCCATGGTAACCGTAACGTGATGTAAACATGCCTCCATAATAGGACTGAGATCATAACTGACCCTGGTTATGACTCAGCTTATTTCTAAGAACAGTTAAGAGGCTTTTTCAGAATAAAGCCTCAGTCAGGTTTATGTCAGTGTGGTAGCCTGATGCATAAACAAAAATACTCTGTGAGCAACAAATGTCCTACATTTATTCATCTATTTTCTTTAGAGGTTTTTTGTCATGTACAGCTGACTTTAAAAGATAAAATCAAATAAACTGAAGGCGCCAGGTTACATGGATCCAGAAAAATAGAGAGAGGACACAAAGGAAAGAAAAGAAAAACACAAAGAAGGCAGAAGAGACAAAGGAGGGAAGGAAAAGTAAAGAAGAGAAGGAAAGGAGAAAACCAGAAGAAAACCCTTTTAGATAATAGATAACTGAGACTGGAAAAGATGGCTGGTGTTCCTCTCCTCTCATTTTTTCCTCTTATTAATCATGTGGTCTATTTTTCTTCTTCTTCAGATATCGGAGCCTGAAACATTTCAACTATGACATTTGCCAAAGCTGCTTCTTCTCCGGCCGCGTTGCCAAGGGACACAAGATGCAATACCCCATGGTGGAATACTGCACTCCGGTACGTTTGGGCCGGATCTGAAAAACAATCCTGCAGCGTTTAAGAGTCCAGCTGCCGTCTCTCCATCCAGCTAATAAGCCAACTGATGGTGCTTTGAATTATTTTCTGTTAGTGATGGAAAGTGTGTTCTTTATTGCTTTTCATTAAAACGAATCTCAGTGGACTACAAGGTGGTGTTCCGCTCCATCTAGTTTAGAAATTTGAAGCTTAAATCTTGACACAGTGACCATAAACTTAATCTAATATATTCTAGTCCAGNT